GCACTCATATTGTTACAAAACATTTATATTTCAAATAAATACAGAGTTCTGGCATGAAACTCTAGATGGCGCAGTCCGATAGGTCTAGCTCAATCTGTTCTGGCGACATCATTGTCACATGGCAGCTGATTGGTTCTCTCCTGTATCGGTAGCCAATGAGCTTACTGCTCAATATTCAAATACCTGGCTTTTGTTTTCTGTAGCAGTATTGCAGCGCACTTCAGAAACCCTCCACCTTCCCCAGCTCCACCTGTATAGATCTGCAATTGGGTGATTCATGTATGCTATATGGGGGTTATTCATATGTGTTATATGTGCAGCAGCAGAATTTCTTACATGCTTACCGCAGCATGTTGTGGATGTATTGGCAGTAGCCAATTAACATTGTCATGTACATTACCATGCCAATCCCTCCAAGAGTTGTCATGACAGAAATGCTGTTCTTTTGAACTTTCTATTTATCAGCATGAATGAGTTTACTCCATCTGAAACTTAACAAATCCAGCAATTACTCTTTACTTAGAATACATATTTTGGTTCTTTAGAGATATAATGTTCCATCAAGTCTGGTTTATCAATTACCAAAGAAGCATGTACATTTTTTATTATCAAAGTGATCAAATGTTGTGTTGCATAAACGAGTACACCCTCCTGAAAGTTACTAAATAAAACAAAATTAAACAAATTTGAGGCAATTTAAATCAACAGATAAGCTTGTTGAACCAAACGAGTTAAAGTGGAGTAATTTCTTGACCATTGAAAGTGTTACATAGCCTACTGAATCATTCTCAGACTTAATGCTGACAACAATGAGACCACTTGGAAGGGACTCATCTAAAGAGATTTATTGTCCTCACAAAGAGGACAGTGGTCCAAGAAAAAACAAAAAAATACATGGTTTTAAGTGTGAAAATAAAACACAAGTAACACAGAAATTAAAAAAAACAACAGACTTGAAATAATCAGGCCTTCACTTTAAGCTTTCATTTTGTGAGTTTTTTTTTTTTTTAGGAGAAAAAAAAAAGCCAAATAAGTGTCTCAGAGTCAACAAAAGCTATGAAAAGAGTGACAGATTCATCTCACAGAGTAAGATGCAATGTAGAGAAGTGAAATGCATGGTTGTTGTCCACAGCTGAAACACCTACCGTAGCCAAAACACAATCAACTCATTTAACCTTTACCAAAGCCCATATTTACAAAATATAGACTTCTGGGAATCCATACTTAATTATTTTCAATCTAAAAACATCTAAAATGCTATGTTGTTGTTAGAGGAGGAGCACAGTGAGAAGTGCCTGGTTCCCACAGTGAAGTTCAGTAGGGATGTATGAGTGCTGAAGGTGTGGGGGATTTGTACTGTATCAATGGTTATGTTTACATCCACCTAGTTTTAAGCAACTTTTGGGATATTGCATAAAAAATGCTGAATGGAAACGGCAAGATACACACATATTCTAAAAATGCACATTAAAAACTTTACGCACTCAATTGAGTCGGATCTTTTTCCTTTTTTTTTTTTTTAATCCAATACTAGGACATGCAAATAATATGATGGAAACACACTTACAAAATAAATTAAATAAATAAATAAATTCCTCAGTTTGCATCAAAACAACAACAACAACAAAAAAACATGTGACTTTGCCTCAACAGATGGCAAAGTTCTCAACAGAAGTCCATCATCAAAATGATTTTGTATAATCACCTCCCAGAACTGTCGCACACGATCACTTCCCAAACATCAGGCAACCAAATGCAAGAATACTGCATTTCCTCTGTGTCGCTCTGAGGCACAAGTCATTTATTATGTAGGAAAAAAGAGCCACAGGCTTCCCTGGTTACAGCAACTTTCATTTTTTATTATTGATATTTTGCAACAGTTTCCCAGGAAGTGAGAACTTTTTTTCTTTTTTCTTTATTGAACACATGGGATGGAAACGGTGCTTTTTTCGCAAATGTTTTATGCCATATTCTAAGTCTGTGCTTAAGTTAGATTCCATATAATGTGTGATATAATGCAAGAACCTGAAACAGAAGATGCCTCCCTCTCCTCATTCTCTGTTAGGACATATTAATTGCTAGAATATTACAGCTTTACTGAATTGAATCAAGGGTGCACTCACAGTTCATTTAAACACAATTGGCTAATGTATTTATTTTACAGATATTAAATACACATTTTCTGTATTTTCATTAAGCATGTTTAATGAATTAAAAAATGTTCATCTTTCCATGAACTGTACAAGTGATTAAGAAAGAAAAGTACAGTACAGACAAATAATAAATAAATAAATAAATAAAAAGTAAGGAAAAGTAACATGAAATAAATGTGATTATATAAAATAGATAGATGGATAGACAGACAGACAGACAGACAGACACACACACACACACACACATGCACGCACACACACAGAACTGGTCCCCAAACTAAAGTGTGATGCAATAAATACAAATAAACGTTTGTCCGTTGTTTGTGGCTATCTGTGTCTTGCGATAACATAGTTTAACTGTATTTCACCTTGGTAATAACATTATTCATTTTTTCGTTCTGTCTTTCTCATTACCCCACACACACCGTCACTTAGCTTATGCAGCACTTTTTTCAGACTGCCGTTCCTCTTGGTTTCCAGATTCACCTTCACATTTATGAATCTAATCTGCGGTGTTTATTGAGGCGGCTTTATGCATCACCATTGACTGTGCATTAGTGATCTCATGTGACGTTATGTGCTAAAAGCAAAAGGGATATAATCCAGTACAGGTTCATACTCCTATAGAACCATTCTTTTTTTGTGTCCTCCTTTAAGGGCAGTTAAAAGAGAATAAGAAGCGGTAGATAATGCATCTAAATGTCAGGTCACACAACAGCGGCTTCGAGTTTGGAGCTTTCATAGAGGAGCTCTATTATTCACTGTGTTTAAAAATAAACACAGACCTACAAGATTAAGTAGAACTACATTTAAAGACATTTATAATGGCTGAGGCCAAACAATGTAAGGAGTACTGTGGGTTGAACAACACAGACATCATCTGCTGCATGCTGTGTATTACCACAGACAGTAATTTAATTTCAGTGTATATAAACAAATGGGAAACATATTTACAGGAAATAAACTCACAATGGAAGAGCAGCATGCATACACACTTAAAACATGGCATTTTCAACTACAATTCTGTTATGAACATATAACTGTAACACTCACAAATTTCACATAGAATCATTCTTAACACTCCTAAAAAGTGAACTCTGTCACTGTCATTTCCCTTGTGGAATATAAGTGCAATTAATTGTATTGAAAGTGCACTTTTCAAATTTTAAAAGTACATTTTTAAAAACAGTATTTGCAGATAATATTAATGAAGTAAAAGGTCATGTCAGTGCACTTAAACACTTTCATGTTTCTTAACGCATAATATTAAATAATATCAAATTAAATGTTTTATTTTAAAGTATATTTTAAATCATTTTGTTTTAATAAACTTTTAAAAGATCTTTAAAAAGAGATACACTTATTTTGATGTGTTGACTAACATACTAAAGCACGTGTAAAGTACTTTATTATAATTTTAACTGTAGTGTGTTATTGGATTATTATATTTAAAGTTAATATATTTTAAATATATTGAATTGAAACTTAATTATTACAAAGCTGTTAATTATTATTATGTTCCCAGCTGGTGGGAACGACTTGCCTGCCTCAATTCGAGCAGCCATAAAAAAATAAATAAATAAATAAAAATCTAAAGATACATATTTTTCATCAGCACCTGACCAATTAATAGCACTTACCTATTGTATTCGTTCTAATTTATATTAAAAAAAATAATGTGTACTGTGTACTTTCTATGTGTGCTAGACTGACTGAGACTTGTCACATCACTTGTATACTGTTGCTCTCGTGTTGTTCTGATTGCTTCTATTGTTCTCCTCATTTGAAGTTGCTTTGGATAAAAGTGCCTTCTAAATGATTAAATATAAATGCAAATATATTTAAATATTCAATTTAGTAATATTATGTATTATTATTAATTATTAAAGTATATTTTAGTTTATCATAAATGGTTGTCAGTACATTCAGCAGTACACTTTAATCATATTTCAAACACAACAGAAGTAATTGTTAACTTACAATATATATATGTACTTAAGTCCTACTTAAGTGGGTAAAAAAAAACACTCTAAAGATCAACTAGTTGCATTCAACATACATTTACACTTTGCAATTATGGTTAAACCAAACTGTTGACAGTAGCCATTGACTTCCACTGTATTTTTTCTTTATTCCACCCCCCAGTTTCACTTTCATTTGTGGGTGAACTATCCCTTTAAGAATAACTCTTATAAAGTATGTTGTTTATTTATCCTTCATTATGTCATAATCAAATGTCTGTATTTAACCCCGTACATTAGTCTAAAGAGCACCATGTTTTACTGGGTCCTGACCATATTGCAAAAGAGCAGCTACAAAGACAGATTCTAGACAATAACTGTAAATGTCAAGCGTGATGCTCATAAACCTCGGGCCGGAGACATCACAGCGGGCTCGTGTTATTCCCACGATCCCCAGGCATCGGCACGCTTATCACACTGACGCCCTGCAAACTGACTCAACCTGACTGAGACCTTGAACCACAGATTACCACAGAAGGTCACAAGCAAATAAATGTGTTTCCCCATAAGTGTGGGAATCAGGCCTCGGTACTGTATCTATGTGTATGTGCGTGCGTGCGTGTGTGTGTGTGTGTGAAGGTTTATCCTCCATTGTGGGGTCATTTCATCATATAAAGGATAGTAAAACCTGAAATTTTTGACACTGTGGAGACTAAATTATGTTTGTCTGAAAATTAAAAAATGCAGGGTTAGGTTTAGGGTAATGGATAGAAAATACTGTTTGGTCGGTAAAAAAACAATGGAAGTCTATGGCAAGTCCCCACAAAGATAGCCGTACAAACATGTGTGTGTGTGTGTGTGTGTGTGTGTGTGTGTGTTCCCTCACCAGTGTCCTGGTCACAGAGCTGTTCGCAGGGATCAGTCGTTCTCTGGCCGCAGTAGTCTCTCACCCACTGGGTGGAGGTGTTGGTCTGGTAGTACAGGGTCAGTTTGGCTGGATTTAACCAGTTGGAGACATCCAGAAAACTGCCCATGCTCACCACGAAACTGCTTCCTATAGCAAAAATACAGAAAAACAAAGATTTATCTTGTAAGCTTCAAGGACAGCACACAACATTTTTATTGTATCCTACACTGAAAAATAATTAGTACAGAGTTTGCTTATAATAATTCAATACTATTAAATAATAGTAACGCTTTAGTTTAGGGACCAGTTTTCACTATTATCTAGTTGCTTATTAGCATGCACATTACTAGAACACTAGCTGTTTATTAGTACTTATAAAGCACATTTTAATGCCTTATTCTGCATGAGCAATATTTTAGATCCCATATCTAAACTTAACAACTACCTAACTAAATATTAATAAGCAGCAAATTAGTTTACAAATGAGTTTACGGAGGCAAAAGTCATAGTTAATAGTTAGTTAATAGTGAGTGTCTTTTGAAAACACTCAGCTGTCACACTGCTGTCATTTTTTAAATTTGTGGTGCTCCCATTGAAAACAGTGGTGGAAACACATCCTAAGACCAGAAGGTCAGAATATCTTGAAACATCTAAAGATCTCTGGGCCTCTTTTGCAGTGGCTAAGATCAGTGTTTGAGAGTCCATCAAACAAACACTGAACAAGCATCATGAGCCATTCAGTATCTGTCAAAGTCCAGATCTCTCCCCAAAGCAGAATTAAACAGTGTTTCTAAATAAGTTCCCCCCCTTTTCTGTGTCCATCATCTCTCAGGATGACGTGTTCTGCTGATGTGTGAATTTAGTCCTTCCCAAAGATAAGGGCGACTTAATTAAATTGCTGTGCTGCTTCATAGTCCTCTCTGCCATCTTAAACCCAAGAGCAGAGGCTGAGCGGGACGTGTGGACGCCTGCCAGACTGACACCCACTCAGGGACGCCCAGGAGTGGCGCAGAGACACAGGGATTTAACACAGCATGGCAGCTTTTGTTCCTGAACTTCACGACACACCAGTATGACGAGATGCAGCCAGAACAACGTTTCTCCTGGAGAAAGAAGAACATCTCGGTTACGTATGTAACCCTCGTTCCCTGAAGGAGGGAATGGAGACGTCACGTCGGTGACCGACGAATTGGGATCTCGCTTAGAGAGACCAATCCACTTTGAGTGTAAACTAAACAAGCCAATGCACATTGGCATGCGATGATTGCATCCAGCTGCCGCTGATCACAGCGCGAGCATAAAAAGGCAGCCGGTGCAACGCATACCAGGTTTTTGCTGAGGAGCCGAGCCAGTGACCCGGCCGCTCAGCGGTGGTACAGCAGCCGTGGCGACGGGACATGACGTCTTCGTTCCCTCCTTCAGGGCAGCATCCATGGCGCTTTGTTAGGGACACCTTCCAGTGTCCTGTGCGAGCCTCCTGTGCCCCTTTTTGGTGTAGGCCGGGGCTCGCATCAAGAAGACCAGTCACTGTTGTCGTAGCACTACCCACTCAGTAAGATTGGATAACATTGGGAAAACGTACACATACCAGTTGGAACAGGAACGTTGCGGAAGCCCCATCCTTCCCAAACGAGGTTTCGGGAAGCACTTACACATATTAACAACCGTTTAGGTGCATATGGAAGAATAGAGGTGATTATAACCCTCTAGGAAATGGCAGAAGTCTGCTGGGGAAACACGGGCTCTGAGGCAATACCGTGGACTTTACACATATGGGATCCACTTAGGTCTCTACATATGGAACCCAGCCCTCTACCGGTTCTCATGGATTTATCGAGTGAGGGCCTGGCGCCAGACGTTTCGCCACGTCTGGCTGCCGAGGGGATGGAGGAGCTCGACAGGGTCTACAGTACGGACACTCTGGAGCAGTTTTAGCAAGCCGACACTAAACCGGGGCCTCTCAGTGCCTCTACCTGTTTGAGGTGAGAACACAGGAGGATACCGGCTCCACACGAAGGCTATAGAATCTAGCGAACGTGTTGGGGGTCGCCCAGCCCGCAGCTCTACAAATATCTGTCAGCGAGGCGCCACGAGCTAGCGTCCAGGAGGATGCAACACTTCTAGTAGAGTGAGCTCGCAACCTAAGCGTGCAGGGCACACCCTGTGCCTGATAAGCCAGGGTGATGGCATCCACTAAACAGTGGGCCAGCCTCTGCTTAGAGACGGCCTTCCCCTTCTGCCGGCCTCCGTAACAGACAAAGAGCTGATCTGAAGTCTTAAAGCTTTGTGTCCGGTCTATGTACCATCTCAAAGCTTGGACGGGACAAAGCAAAGCTAGGGCTGGGTCTGCCTCCTCCGAGGGCAGCGCTTGGAGGTTCACCACCTGATCCCTGAAGGGCCTTTTGATGGAGGCCAGTGCTAGCAGGAGCAGAGTTTTCTTTGATAGAAACTTCAGCTCAACTGACTACAAAGGCCCAAATGGGCCCTGCTGTAGTGCTTTGATCACTAGAGACAGGTCCCAAGAGGGTATAGAGGGGGGCCGGGGAGGATTCAACCTTCTCGCCCCCCCCAAAGGAACCTGATGACTAGGTCATGCTTCCCTATCGATTTCCCTTCCATGGGGTCATGGTTAGCAGCAATCACAGCGACATAGACTTTAAGGGTGGAGGTAGACAGCCTTTGCTCCAACCCTTGCTGCAAAAAGGAAAGCACGACCCTGATCGGGCATCTCCGGGGGTCTTCTCGGTGAGAATAACACCACTCGACGAGCAGGTTCCATTTCAAGGCGTAAGCGTGTCTCGTAGAAAGTGCTCTTGCCGAAGTGGTGTCAACTACCTCCTGGGGTAGGTCACCTAGAAACTCTGCGTCCCATCCAGGGACCAGACATGAAGTTTCCAGTGGTCTGGATGCGGGTGCCACAGGGTGCCCCGCCTCTGAGTCAGTAGATCCTTCCTCAGAGGAATCTGCCAGGGAGGGGCTGTCATGAGGAGCATTAGTTCCGGGAACCAGGTCAGAGTGCGCCAACACGGCGCCAAAAGCAGGACCTGCTCCTCATCCTCCCTGACCTTGCATAGCGTCTGTGCGAGAAGGCTCACTGGGGAATTTGTATTTATAATTTTTTTTTTTACCATCTGGGGATGGAGTCTCCACTCTCCGGGGAGCACAGCTCGTGACAGCTCGTTGGCTGCACGGCTGTGCAGGCCCTGAATGTAAATGGCACGAAGCGACCTCAGATACTTCTGACTCCAAAGGAGGTGGTGGCGGGCGAGTTGCGACATGTGACGGGAGCATAGACCACCTTGTTGGTTGATGTACGCAATGGTCGCCGTGTTGTCTGTGCGGACCAGCACGTGCTTGCCTCGTAAGCGTCCTCTGAGACGTTCAAGGAAAGAAGAACTGCTAACAACTCTAGGCGGTTGATGTGCCAGTGCAGTTGGGGGCTCATCCAAACCCCCGACACTGCGTGCCCATTGTACGTGGCCCCCCAGCCAGTGGTGGAGGCATCTGTGTAAACCACAGCATGCCTGGAGACCTGTTCCAGGGGCACTCCTGTTGAAAAAATAACTAGATTGAGGCAGAGGCAACGGAGCTCCGCCCCTTTTGAGGTAACGGAGCTTGGCCCGCAACTCCGAGATGGTCATCTTCCCACAATGAGAACATTACTCATCCACGAACGCCACCTCAGCGTGCTTAATGCCCAGACACGTGAGGCAGTGATCGTGACCATCATCCGACACCAGGTAATGACCACATCCAGAAATGCACGGGTGATACGTTGTCTGTAGCAAGACGCAAAGTCGTCTTTACAAAGACGCAAGGTCGAGTTTACCAGATGCAACGTCGTCTTTACAAAGACGCATCGTCGAGTTTACCAGACACAACGTCGTCTTTAAAAAGATGCACTCGTGAATGCTCTTTTAGGGAAAAAGATATTTTAGCGTGCTGAAGCGCACAGGGGAGATGGCCGCCTGCAACACAAACAGGGTGTAGTGCAACCCACTCGACACGGAAAACCACCACCGCTGAAGTGCCGTAACGCCAACACGAAGAGCTCTCAAAGAGCACGCTGACCTCGTTCAGTCTTCTTCTCTCAGTAGAGTAGTCAGGAGCAGAATGATGTGATCGCTTGGCTCTGAAGCGAAAAGCTGAATATGCGCTGCATCTGCTGCCTACTTATACTCACGCTGTGATCAGCGGCAGCTGGATGCAATATCAGGAGCAGAACGATGTGATCACTCGGCTCTGAAGCGAAAAGCTGGTATGCGTTTCACTGGCTGCCTTTTTATGCTCACACTGTGATCCGTGGCAGCTGGATGCAATCATCGCATGCCAATGTGCATTGGCTCGTTTAGTTTACACTCAAAGTGGATTGGTCTCTCCAAACGAGATCCCAATTCGTCGGTCATCGACGTGACATAGAGAGTGACCGACTGAAAGAGAACTGTCTAGCTAGCGGTCAACAAATATCTGGGAAAAAAAAAAAAACCACAACTATATAAGATAGAATATTGTTTTGTTGGCTACATAAAATTATAGAGAGAATTTTATTATATTTTTTTTTTCATATGCTTTAGCTACAATGGGTCTTTGTTTTTGGTTCTTAATATTGTGTCTATATTAGGATATAATCATAGACTCGGTAGGGACAGGGCTTAAACAGGAAGTGTGTCCACAAGTGTGCACTCAAAATTTACCATGCATTACACTTCTATGTAAAACCTGATTGCATTTTATGTCCTTTAGAAATCCACATAAACAGGAAGGCTATAGCATAAGCTAAATATACAGCTAAGAGCAGTGGACCATGTCTAAAATGAGCTTGACAAATGGGTGGGTGTTTTAGAGAAACTGTGTGTGTGTGTAAGTCCACATTTAAGAAGAAAAAAAAAAATAGATGACCTTCGGAATACCCCCTGAGAAAAAATCCGCCACTGAATGTCAGCGAACAGTTTAATTAGGAACCTGATGCTGGTGACTGTGACCTCTTCAAATTTCAGACTATAGAATATTGTTTTGTTGGCTACATAAAATTATGTGAATATCAAATAATTTAGCTATTAAATTTCCATATTCAATTTCAACATGATTTTTGAAAAAAAAAGACTTATCTGTTTTTGCAAATAAACTCTTCAT